AAAACAGGCTCTAGAGCAATGTGGATATCCTAACCGGGCCTTCCTGAAAGCAGAGAAGAAACCCAAACAGGACTCCAGTCAGCCATCAGGTGAAAAGGAGGAACCCAGACCCAGACCAGTGGTCATTCCGTATGTTGAGGGAGTATCAGAGAAACTGAGACGTTTATTTTCTAAACATAATGTCCCAGTGGCTTTTAAACCCCAAAATACATTACGGCAAAGATTGGTTCATCCCAAAGATCCAGTCCCCCGGCACAAACAGAGTAATATTGTGTATGCTGTTCAGTGTCAGGAGGGCTGTGATCAGTCTTACATCGGTGAAACTAAACAGCCACTGGCCAAAAGGATGGCCCAGCACAGAAGATCAACATCATCAGGCCAGGATTCTGCGGTCTACACTCATCTCCAGGCCAGCAGTCACTCTTTCAAGGATGAAGATGTTCACATCCTGGACAGAGAGGAACAATGGTTTGAGAGAGGAGTAAAGGAGGCCATCTTTGTGAAAAGAAATCGTCCATCATTAAACAGGGGTGGAGGCCTCCGGGTTCAACCGTCCCCCTCTTACAATGCTGTGATTGCTAGTATCACTCAGCCCTCTGTGAATAGTAAACAGCCATCAGTGTGCTAATGATCCATTGTTAGGCTGATGGTCCTTCTTGAGCATGTGATCAGCTGGTTTTGGTTGTCAGCAGCAAACTGGTTGATCCACTCTGAGAAGGTGCTATTTAAGAGACTGAGCTGAAAACAGCACCTCAGACTGAGGAAGTCTCTTGGATGAGAGACGAAACGTTTCTATATTTTTTTGCTTTGTTTTGTTTTTTGGTTTTTTTTGAATGTCCAGAGGACCAGATTGAACTTTTTTGGATTTTTCTACCTGGATTATTGAGCATGCATCAGGACACAATGATGTTCTTTCTGACTTTATCTGTACTTCTCCATCAATATCCTCAAACACAAATATGGCATTTGTATTGCTCTTCTTGGCTTGATACAATATTTCTGCTCACAAATTGTCACCTCTCTTATAAGTCTAGCTTCCACAATTCTCTCCAAGATCTTCATTATGTGATTCATCAGCTTAATTTCCCTGTAGCTGCTATAACTCTACAAAGTACATTACTCTTCTACTTCAAAATGGGCACCAGAAAACTTCTCCTCCATTCCTATGGCATTTTCTCACTCAAACATGCCATTGAGTATTTGAGTCAAAACCCATCTCTCCTAGACATTTCCAAACCTGCACTGGTATGCCATCAGGTCCTACGGCCTTAACCTTCTTCATTCTTTTCAGATCTTTCCAAGTTTCACCCTCACTAATCTTCCCCACTTCCTGGTCTACAGTTTGTATGATCTCTACTCTTCTGTCCCATTCAGTCACATTTATTAGCTCCTGAAAATACTCCTTGCACTTTCCTATCACAGTCTCCTCACTTGTTAGAACATTACCATTCCTATACTTAACAAGCCTAATCTGCTGTACATCATTTCCAGCCTGATCCCTCTGTCTCACTAATCGGTACAAGTCCTTCTCTCCCTCTTTAGTGTCCAACCTCCCATACACCTCATCATACACCTTCTGCTTTGCCTTAGCTACCTCTCTCTTTGCTCTAAATTCCATCTCCTTATATTCCTGTCTCCTCTCTGCAGTCCTCTCATGTCATATTTCTTCTTGGCTACCCTCTTTCTTTGAACGGCATCCTGTACTTCACTATTCCACCACCAGGTTTCCTTATCATCCATTCTCTGTCCAGATGACAAACCAAGTACCTTCCTACCTGTCTCTCTAATTACAGTTGCTGTAGTAGCCCGGTCGTCTGGAGCACTTTCCAACCACCCAGAGCCTTTAACAATTCCTCTCTCAACTCCTCACAACATTCTTCCTTTCTCAGCTTCCACCTCTTGGTCTTCTCTGATTTTACTCATTTTCTTTTCTTCACAACAATCATTCTACACATAACCATCAAATGTTGTATGGCCATGCTCTTCCCTGCCATAACCTTACAGTTCCCAGTCCCCTTCAGGCTTCCTCTTCTACACAGAATATAGTCTACCTGTGTACTCCTTTCTCCACTCTATGTACCTCCTTCTTTTGGAAATATGTGTTGACTACAGCCATTTCCATTCTCTTGGTAAAATCCACCACATTTGTCCTTCCTGTTTTTTTTTCCTTGACACCAAACCTACCTATCACTTCCTCACCCCCTCCATTTCCTTCACCAACATGTTCATTCAGGTCTGCTTCAATCACCACACTCTCCTCCCTGGGAATACTCTATCACTTCATCCATATCCTTCCAAAATGTATCTTTCTCATCTATATCACATCCAACCTGTGAAGCATAACTGCTGTCAACATTTAGCATCAGACCTTCTACTTCTAATTTCAGACAAATCATCGTATCCAACACTATTTTCACCTCTACTACATTCTTTGCCAACTCCTCCTTTAGGACCACCCCTAATCTGTTTCGCTTTCTATCCACACCATGGTAAAAAACAAAAAGTTTAAACCCTGCTCCAATGCTGTGAGCCTTGTGACCCTTCCAGTTGGTCTCTTGGGGTGCATTCACACCAGCCCTGTTTAGTCCGCTTTAATCAAACTCTAGCTTGTTTTCCTAGGAAGTCCGGTTCATTTGGGGAGGTGTGAACGCGACATCAAACTCTGTCACGGAACAAAAAGGTGAACACTGGCCCGGGCTAAAAACTAGGTCTCTTGTAGAAGAGAACTCCAGCGCGGTTCGAGTACAGTGTGAATGCAACCAAACCAGTCCTCGCTCCACAAGCAAGAAGTGAAGTACAGCGCAGGGCAAACAAACATTCATTTATCTTACCTTATATGGAGCTGTCAGCTGCCTTGTGTGAAAAACAATATTCTCCGTGGTCTTCTGCCTCATCTTCTGCTCATAATGAGTCCATTTTTGAAAAATGACAAAATATAACTCCTAAAACTGCTAAAACTTGATGCCACTCTGTTTTTGTTTTTATTTCCAGAAGAAGAAGAAGTGTCTTCAGAGGTTTTTGTGTAATTTCTTTCAGTAGTTCTTGGTGCAGCACCACCACAGGCGAGTGGGGGAACAGGTTGGTTCAACAGGTTGGCTCGACTACACAGTGCAGTGTGACTGCAAATGCACCAGCTCAAATGTAAACAAAATGTTATGAATATTGGTCCCCAACCGAACAGAGTCTACCGGACTATCAGGTGTGAAAACAAACTTAGACTCATTAAACATCTACCTTCCTTCTTTGCATCATGTCAGCCAGCTCTCTACCATTGCCTGTCATTGTCCCCACATTTAGATATTCCTCCCTCAGTCCTACATTCTTGTTTTTCCTCTTCCCCCTCTGTCTTCGGACACGTTTCCGTCCTGGTGGTCTTCGACTAGCAGAAGCACATTTTCTACTGACACCCTGTTTGTCAGCTGCACCGGTGACAGTTGTTAATCCAGGCCTTGACCTGTCTGGCATGATGTCATTTAAATTAACTTGTATATCCGTGTTGGCATAAGTGTTTTACATTGGATGGCCTTCCTGACACAACCCTCACCATTTACTCAGGCTTGGGGCCAGCAAAAGAGGTACACTGGCTTTTGCTCCCTAGTGGCTGGCTACTTTTGTTGCTGATTTTTTTTTTTATTTGGCTGTTCTCTTCTGAAGAGGTTGCCACAGCGAGCTATCCTGCATGAAAGATTTGGCAATTGTTTTACACTGGATGCCCTTCTCATTGCAGCCTGGGCTCAAACCTGCAGCCTTAGGAATAGAGGACCATGGCACTGACCACTGACCTACCACAACATTTTGTTGTTGTTATAAATTATTGTGATATTTTATAACAACCAACCAAAAAGAACATGCAAGTCAATGTAGAAATATATCATATCTTCAAGATGCTGGTTCTTTTTTGAGCTAACTGTCTTGACATAACCAGTTTAGTTTGAGACACTGAGAATCAATTTATTCACAGGAGCCAAGTCCGTTGTTTTGTTTTTCTCACATATTTTTGTTGCTTTCTACACTTGGTGCTAACATGACTAAAAACACGATTAATTGCTTACATTTTTCTAGCAAGGAGTCAACAACTAGAACAAACAGAACAACACACATGTGCAGTGTCTTCATGCTGCACCCATTTTTTTTTTTGTTCATGGAACACGGTGTACTAGATCAAAATGAATCTACATATATCAAAATGAGGCTGTTCTAATGACATCGAGGCTATAACGCTGTGTTGTCACCATATCGCTGGCACGTCTTCTCAGCTGGACCCAAACATCTTTATGCTGTAAATGTGGATGATGTAAGATAAAGATGTCTTGTGAAACCAGTTGCTGAAACCTCATTGCTGAGGCTGACTCTGTCTGTACCTAAAGTGTATGTGCATATCTGAGCACACTGCCGTCCACGTTTAACATAACCGCATACAGATGATGTTGATATGGCTTATTTATTCTCGCAGGAAACAGAAGGTATATTTGCATCTGACATTAAAGAAGGGAGTGAATGCAGCTGGCTATTACAAAGAAGACGGCAAAAAAAGCCGATGCACAGAGCACATCTATAGACATCAGAGCGATGAGGCTATTGCTTGCTCACTTTTCAAACCTCAAATCTGCTTTTCCTCTTTGTCTGGCATCTCTTTGCAAATATAGAAAGGCATTGAGGAAGGGCAGAAAAGGTTGTAGAGGAAATCGCACTGCCGCTTGAATAAGCAATCATTTCGGCAGCTACAATAACTGAGCTCATCATCTGAGCAGAAGAAAGTGAGTCTTTTTATAGTGGGTAAGATTGAAATCAGGAGAAAGAAAGGCAGGAAAAAGGACTTAGAAAAGGAAATTGGGAAAAAGGGTGAGCAAGTGTGCAAATTTGAAGCGTTCCATCATCCTCCAAACTCCTGCAGCCTTCCTCTTCCCTCCTCCCCTTCCTCTTCCTCTTCCTCCTCCTCCTCCTCCTGAAGAGAGAGAGCAACAGTGAGAGTCACGCTTGCAACCTCGAGAAGAGACGTCAAAAGGAGGATCTACGGAGGGGGGGGACATAAAAAAATCCTCTCTCTTCTGCTGCCTCTTTTCGTTGTATCCTACAGGCAGCAAGGAGCAGAGAGGAGTGAGGAGGATCCTGCTGGCATTTTTTTCCCTGTGCTGCTTCCCTGCAATTTGCGGCTCTATCATAGTGCGTGGAGCGCAGGGAGAGCCGCTGAGAGCTCGAGCGGTGACATCGCTCCGCAGAAGAAGAAGAGTACCGAAGATCAGCCAGGATGCTTAACAACCTGACAGACACAGAAGAGGGGGACGGGGGAGCGCAAAGCCAGGGTGAGTGATGGGATGGGTCATGTGGTCACTTGAACAAATCAGAAGATTTGCATAAATCAAGACGTTCATATGATGATGTATGACATGCAGGGAGAGCACTGCTCTGCCGACGCAACAGCATGAAAGGAGAGTGTAAAGATGTTGCACACAAAAAAATGAGCAAGAAGTAGATTTACATGCACAACCTGATTGGACTTAAGAGTGCTGGTGTGCATGTGAACGTGAATTGTACATTGGTTGGCCTGCTTGCCTCAGCTGCTACTGCTCTTACTGCAAGGCTGTTGTGACAGGAATAGTAATGTGCTCACTCCAAACGATGGATTTTGAGCATAAGGGCATTACAGTTTTGTCCAGCACATGGACAACACACTCACTATTACACACATAAATACACACACACACACACATACACAAACCGTATAAAGCATTAAATTGCTCAGCCACCCGATAGATTGCTCATTCTCCATAGCAGCATAAATATTCCCTCTACATATGGGAATCATTGGACAGACTGTATGGGCATTTACACATGCACACACAAACAGATACACACACACACACACAACCGCTCACAAATACTGACACTGAGCGACCACTGCTGCTAATCCCATCGTCCCCAGCTGTCAAAATCAGCCCTGCATCCAACCCCCTTTACTCGATCTCTTGGTCTCTGCAGGCTTTCAGAAAATAACCTGTAGGCTGATTGTTTGCGTGGATAACTGGGTTGTGATGACACCAGCACACACTTCTCAGGCCCTGGAGAACATTAAACTTTTTTTTGTGACAAACCCTGCACATTTAATGCAGGTCTGCTGCATTAAATCATAAATGCAGCATAATTGATAACTGAAGCGTGACTACAGTTTCTCTATCAATGCCTCCTTCATAGTGCGAATAACGCTGCAGTCGAGGGTGTAGAAGTGTCAAAGCAACAGCTTCTCTATATGCTATCTGCTGCATGTAAAAGATTGTTGTATGTGTGTCCATATCCTTTTTTAAGCTTATTTTGGCTTCTCTTAAAACTGATGTTAGCTGCAGTTTTCATTTTATTATTTTTTCTCTTTTTTCTGCATAAATCTCCCTGCTGTTGTCAGGCCAAAGCTCCAAAAAGTGCACGAAAAGACAGGTTGCAGAAGAGAGAGCAGTCACTTCTTCCACTTGCTGCTGCTTCTTCTACCTGTGAGGGTTTTATGATAAAAATAGACCAGCACTGAAAACATGAATATTTAACTTAATGCGGGTGTCTCTTTTTCATGTAAAAGGGAATTACGGTAATGCACTAATACCTATTGAGTGTTAGGTTTGGAAACATCAAGACCCAGTTACCAAACTTCACATAGAACTATGGAGCAGAAATCAAATATTCTAAGCAGTGCTGTGCTTTTGTGTTTCTTTGTCTAACACAACTGAATTTTTGGGGTTTATTTTTGTGTAAGCCTCCAGGTGTGCAAAGTGGCATTTTGATGCAGACATGCATGCTCATTTTAAACTCTATGTGTATGTGTGGGTGTGTGTGTGTGCGCACGTGCATGTGTGTGCATGCATGCACGCACATTTGTAGCTCACCACCTCTGCAGCTATATATAGATGTCAGAAAGTCTCATTTGTTAACCTGTCCCTTTGAATTTCAGTCTGGTCTGTTGCATTAGTATAACTTGTGTGTACACGCACGTTCTTGCATTTCTGTCTTGTGGGGACTTTGCATTGACTTCCATTCATTTCTAAATCCTAACCCTAATCCTTACCCTAAACCTAACTATTATCAGTTCATGCCTAACCCTAACCGCAATTCGCACCATAGTCCTAAACTTACACCAACCCCCCAAACGATACTTATCCTAATGGGGAACAGGCTTTGGTCCCCATAAGGAGCAGTTGGTCCCCACAATGTAACCTGAAACAGAAATGCATGCACCCACACACACACACACGCAGTCACACACACACACTGACGCACACACTTTCATCCCTCTCAACTGAATCACAGCTCTGCTAAGCAAGCTGTGCAACAACCTGAATAACTGTTTAGTCATCAGCAGTATGCAGGGCAGCTTCAGTAATGTCAGACGTTGTCGCTGTCCGCTGCTCCGCGGTGCTGAAAGCTAATTCCCTACCCCCACCAGCTCAAAGGGCTACCCAGTGCTGTCCAAGGTACTGATTTACTGCCTTCATTACAGGGCTGGAAAACAGCCTGGAAGAGCTGCATTCTGTACATGTGGAATTGTTTCTGTTTGCAGGAGTTTTTTTTCTGTATACTTTATAAGCATGTAAAGATAAAAGGGAAAACTTGGAAGATAAAAAGGTCATAAGGGCACTAAAAGAAGCGTTCGGTAAACCGTGGCCAGGTTTGTATAGTCATGCGATGGCAAATTGCTGTTCTATTCTGGTGTTAATAAGCTTCAGACTTTTTCTCTATGAAGCTGTTGAAGAAATTGCACCTAAAGTAAAACAGTCAGTAGCTGAAAGAGATTAATTGGTTTTTATTAGGGTTTTTCTTTTTTGTGAAGGTAAGGAAGATGAACTGTTACTGTCTGAAATATTTAATGGTAGAAATGGAAAAGTATGGACAGGAGACAAATGGTGCCATTGAAGGCAGGTGTTGAACAACACTGTAGCTTGTCATGTATGGTGTTTATGAATGATATATATATATATATATATA